CTTTTCATTGCCAAGATATGGAATTCATGGCTTGACAAATGGAATTACAGCTCAAAAAAATGGAATCAATGGCTGGCAAATCCTTAAAACCACAGCTTGAAAAATTCAGTTGCGGCTTGCCAAGTAGGTATATTCCATGCCTGTTGTATTATACTACAACTACAGCTCAATTCTATAAAAATTACAAAAATTAGTGCCTCTGTTTAGCATAGTGACAAACAAATTTTTTAGAATCAGTTCATTTTCAATTTCCTGATCTAATTTTTAATCAAGATTTACACCAATGCCTTGAGCATGATGAGGCTGGTGTCTATGATACTTCCCTTGTCTATATCTAGGACTCAGAAATGAACTTGGGAAGCATCTAAAAAGTCTGTTTTGTCACTATCTCTGATTCTCTGTCAGGGAAGTGAAATTTCCAGTTGGGCATTCTGATTACATTTGCCCATAATTGCCAGAAAAATAGGTTATTTAAAGTGCCATATATCATATGTCTCATATAGTGCACATAGCTTGCAATTTATTCTTGAATGCTTTAAATTTTTGTGCATTTATCTTAAAAACATCACAACTTTAACCAATTACTTGAGCAGTTTATCCTGGTTCTGGTTTTAGCTTATCTTTGCAAATGTTTTACTGATTTCACTCCAAATATTATAATGTATGTGTTGTTTTTAATATTTCTTACTTGCTGCAGTTTTAACACCCAATTTTCCATCAGGCTCAGTATTATTATCTTATTATCTAGTTGGACAGTTTATTGAATTTTGTACTATTTATTTTTCAGTTCACCACTGATGAAATGAGTAACCCTGTCCATACTCCCTATCCCTAGTCATAATTCATAACTCCTGAACGCAATTAAACTCATCCATTCATTACACTGTACCGTAACCACTCAATAATTAGCATTTCACTTATACATCATTTTCACTGTATTTTTATTTCAATGTTCAATATAAAGCACCAGTCTTTCATTTGCCTTTTGCCATAACTAGATAGAAGGGTGGTTGCCAAACCAAACTAAAAGTAGGTAACACGGTTACCTCACCCGCAATGTTAGACATCTACCCGGCAATAACATGAATGATGTGATAATGCAGTCATGATAAAATGACGTGATAAAGCAGCAAGTTTTTTTATACTCTCTCTAAAATTCAATTTTGAGTCCTATAAGTAGACCAGAAAAGTATCCTGGATACCTGCAATATCATACATAAGATATTGGTTTAATCTTGAGTGAATGAGGAAACTAAAAATGAACTGATTCTAAAAAATCTGTGGTTTGCCACTATGCAGTTAAGTAACACAGATTGTGGATGCTGAAAATTTTATGAAACGACATGTTTGCTAAGTGCAAACGGCAATTTTTTGAGCCACAAGATTTGCATAGGAGCCACAAGATTTCATACCTACTGAAAAATTATATGATATTAGAGCCACAATATTTCAAAGAAAAAAAACTTTTCCCAACCTACTATGATCATGGTAAGCCATTGCCCCCGATCTCTGCCGCGTCTACATCGTGGGGGTACCCTGGACTGCACGTCGGCCGGATGCTCGGCCTACTCGCGGGTCAGGCCAAACAGCAGAGGCCCCCTGCCCGGATCGCTACCGGACGGAGGCTCCTCTCTTCATGGTAAGACATTAGAGTGATTAGACATATATACACATTCTGAATCTATTGTATACAACAGCTCAATTCTACCACAAGTATAAAAATTAGTGCCTCTGTCAGCATAGTGGCAAACAAATTTTTTAGAATCAGCTCATTTTCAATTTCCTGATCTAATCAAGATTTACACCAATGCCTTGGGTATGATGAGGCTGATGTCTATGATACTATCATAGTCTATATCTAGGACTTTAAAATGAACTTAGATCAGGGCTGGCAAGGTCCTATTTTTTCTGAAAATATTGCGGCTCTAATATCATATAATTTCAGTAGGTATGAAATCTTGAGGCTCAAATGTCATACATTTTTGTTTGATTGAAAAATTGCAGTTTGCACTTTGCAAACACCAGGGTGCAGAGGGTACAAGCAGCATCACCAAGAGATATTTTTTTTAGCCCAACGTGTTGCCGGCCATTTTCAAGATCCATCGCTGGGTAATTTTTAATAAGAAATGCTGCAAGCAACTTTGATAGTATATCCTTTACTATAGATGCACCGCAACACTTATACACAATGCAACTGATTTCTGGACAAGATTTGCAGCATCCTGATCCTTCTGGCGTACCGGAAACCTCACTGTGTGTGCTTGCAGTCTTTCAGATTTCCAGTAATTTCAAAGTTACTTCTCATATGCAATAATTTTAATCCAAATGTGTTGGCAAGATCTTCAGAAGGCATAAATTTTGCTGCCAATGCATTGCCAAAGATCTTGCAATCTTCACCCACTTTCTGCACAGTGGTGCAAACATGTCATTTCATAAAATTTTCAACTTCTGCAATCCGCATTGCTTTATCGTTCCCGCCAAAATATCCTCAAGAACGTAATCATCGTATTGTAAACAAGTCAAACTAAATGTTTCATTGAAGATCTCGCATAGTTGCGGTCATGTAAAACTTTGACGTGACCGCAACTATGACTGCAACATATTCAAAGCAGTCAGTGAGTCAGACTGCATTAACACATGTTCAGCTTTCACCGCCTTACAGTAAAGACAAATGTTGTTGTTGCCATTTAACATTTGGGTAGAATTAGAGATTTGGGGTAACATGTGCATGCATGGTGCCATTCTAGATGCATTCTTAATTACCATCTCCTTATGGAATTTTGTAGCGCACCCACGTCCTCCTTGGAGCGCACTCAGCGTCGCACTGAGTCGTGGGCTCAGCTGCCGGATTGCCCAGCTTGAACAGCTGAGATGGACCCCAAGCTCCCGAGCACCATTAGATTTCTGTTGTGACGAGCCAACTCACAACAAAATCAACGTAAATTATACACCTGTTTAACAACAGCTTATAAATTTTAATAATACATTTATAGAATAAAGCCTAAATATAAACTATTCCATGTAGAAAAATGATTGAAAAATTCATTTTAACAACAGAAATACATTTTTTGAAGTTACACTCCTTCCATTGATAATGAGTAATGGAGACAGGAGCGTCATCCTTACCATCCTTGAATAACAGAGAAAACACGTAGTCACTCACTTCACTTAACAATTTGTAGCCATAGCTTCAAACTTCACTTTAAGGCAAGTTTCAAGATCTAAATTGAAAAATTAGCAACGCACTTACAATTCAAATACGATGCTCAGATGAGGTAGCAAGCAGGTAGCGGGGTAGCACAATGCTACATTTGTTTACATTCAGAGTTGATGTTGCCACAAATGAATGCTGAAATCCACAAGGCGCAGCTGCTCGTGTCGTGGAGTGTCGTTCAACCATGAGTGGAGACAATCAAACTTGTTTTAAATGTCTATATTTTCTATCGACATTCTTTTGTCACACATGTATAACGATGCATAGTGCATACTATTGGTATGGTTTTATGTAGAATGTTATTATTATTTTTTAACATGTTGTAGATATTTTTTAAGCATATTTTTCTTAAGTTCAATCAGGAATAAGAAATACCGGAATATCAAACTTTTATGCAATGAGCTTGACAGTGTATTTAAAGGCATTCATGCCTTGAATGAACCTAAATACCTTTATAACTCAATCATAATACATATTGCGGTTTCAGCGTTTAATAGGTCGTAGGCCAGTCGCCGATTCTTAACATCGCAGAACATTCACAGTATTTTGCGGTCTCGAACTCGCAACTCACTGCTACAATTCTGCTGTACTTAACCGCCCGGCTTCCTCGCCGATTCAGACCAGAAACTGTCGCACAGAGCTGGGATTGAACCCACGCCTCTCTGCTCCAATCTTGGCACTCAATAAGCCACGCTCCATAATCCCCATACAGGTGCAGTAGGTAGTGTAAATATCTAAGCTGCTTATGTCACGTCTAGGATAAATTTACGGCCGGACACGCGGCCAATCTCCAAATTCAGTGACCAAGGAATATCTCAATGAACGCAGCTCGATGAAACTTGGTACACATATTCAGCAGGACCTAACGCTGATGTTTAGCTTGTGAAAATTTGTCCATTTAACCTTCATTCGTGAGTTGTAGAACAATTCATGCCGAAATTTGCAGTGACCAAGAAATTTCTTTTAAACTAACTTGTCTGACACTCTACGTACGTGAAGGAAACATTTGTTTAATATTCATCCCTACACTATTTATGAAACTTAATTAGATCGTTGTGATGAGTAATACTCTATAATACCAGATCGTTCTGATGAGTAATTGGGGCATGTGAGGTAAAATAACGAATGTTAGCTTAAATTTGCGTAATAGAACTGACGAATGTTAGCTTAAATTTGCGTAATAGAACTGAACAAGAGACTAAAGTTAAATTTACTGATTTTTAACGCGGAGGTTTCAAGCATGGTTGAACTATATAATATACTAGTTCAATTACATCTCGGACAAATTTTTACATATATTTCCATTACAATTTTACTACTAATGTTTTCACAACCTTTGTGAAGCATTTCGCCTTTATATTTTTCTAAAAGTAAAAGTGATTTTAAACTAAAAAACAATGGAGCTATATCTTATCAGTTCGCTCGCGCGCGTTTTCAAGCAAATCGACACTTCTCCGGACCTGGCCCTGTTTAATTAAAGAAATTAAACATTTCTTTACTTGATCATTGAACAACACTCATCACGCTACTGTCACGAAAATTTCAATTTAAAATATTGAAAAAATTACTTTTGCATAGGCTACCAAATAGCACTGCTCGAGCTCATTTGTCATTTCGTCTATTGCGTACGATGCAACAGCTGCTAGAAGTCTATACTCTATATAGTCTCGATTAAACTTGCACAAATTTTATGGAAGTGGTTTAAATTAAATTTAATACGTAATTCTAGTTTTCAACTGATGTAATTTGTATTCTTTACAGTTTGTTGGTTATTAAATAATAATTCTATTCTTTTTGAATTTATTTATGCTATAGGTCATAGTCATAACAGATGAAGTGTCGAAGTTCGAACTGTCGGTCAGGGTGCATCATTCCGCGAAGACTTAATCAAGTACATAAGTAATGTTTGGAAATTTGATGCAATAATTAATAATTGTATTTCTATCAATTTATTATGCAATAGAGATTAATTCCGCAGTGTTGAGTCAACTTGAGTGGCGTGCAGTGGCGCAGTGCTGTAGGCTCACTAGAGTGACTAGACTAGAGCTAGGCTGCCCCGCTGCCGCTGATCCGCATCTGCTGATGATGGCGTGAAGATTGAAGCTGAAATATGTGAATAACTATAACCTGTCTTGATATAGAATTTTTAAAAATTTAATTTCAATGTAATTCGATTAATGTAATTCTGTAGTGCCCTGCATTAAATTAAATTTAAAATTAATTTTATTTCAAAGTTTTAAACAATTTTTCAGATTATCAGATACAGGCAGTAGATTTAGAAAGGTATTAAATGTAGGATAGTACTAACATAATGTCGTAACTCATAAGTGTTCACCTAATTGGCAATCCTGTTAATTTAATTATTTAATATTTAAATCTAGAAATGGAATAGTATCCACATAATCCACTATCCATTGGCCAATAACTCTAATTTACTTGAAAAAGTATACTGATTTTGTAGCTATGTCAATCTAAAATGAATTACTCAATAGTAAATTTGCATTAGTCAATCTGACTCAATCATTATACCCAAACTCAATACACATTAAACTTGAGGTTAAAGGTCTTTTAACTAGAAAATGAATATTGAGACATTCAATTTAAAATCATTATTAAATATTAAAAATGATTTTCAATCTGCAAATGCATACTAAAAATTTTACCTAAATTTTTACTTTCAAAATTTCAAAATGGCAGTCGGCAGAGGCTGCATGTGCATGTTGCTACCATATGTGACAACACACCACAAAAGGGTTAAGCAAGCCGAGAGATTATTGATATGTTCATTGTGTAGGTTTGTAGCCTCTTGGCTCATGTTCATAAATAAATAGTAAAATATTATCTCAACTTCTTCCTCTATCTAAATAACTATTAATATATTGTTCACTTTATTATCTCTTGTCCAAATTTGTATCATTGTGTTTGGTTGTGCAGCATGTAGCCTTGTGCTGCTGGGTGCTGGCACTGGGAGAGAAGGAACAGGAGTCAGGCTCAGGACAACCTCCATGGCACTCATTCTGCTGGCATCTCATTCCGTTCAGTCATCACCAATCTCTTCAAAGGTGAATACCAACAATATATTTATTCCATACCTGTTTCAAATATATATACCAATATTTTTAACCCCTAAACGGTAATTCAACTTCTATCCACAGCTACATAATAGGCCTCTGTGCCTGCACCTTGCACTTGAACTTGAGTGCCAGCTATATAATTTTTTTTACCTTGTAACCTCCTTGATAGTGCATAGTGACTTTTATTCTAGTACTCAGTATCAAGTACTTTGAATAGTGAGGCTCTATGGCTCCTTCATAGAGGCTCTTGCCTCCTGAAATTGCATTATCTATAATGAATCACATAAATAATGATTAATGACTAATGTTGTAATGGTGTGGTCTGCACTCTGTGGTGCAACCCATAATTTACAATGCATTCTTGTTCATCAAAAATTAACATTGACATGCATCATTAATTTTATTTTATCTATTCTTGCACCACTATTTTGTGTGAATGTGTGATGTTGAGTACTAAATGAGGATTAAAACTTTTTAGTCATTTTCTTCAAAAATTATTATTAATTATGTATATGTAATATAAAGTATAATTGATTTTGTTCCCTCTGTTTGCTTAAACTAACATATATGCAATATGTTTGCTTGCTATTAAACGCAGTTCATTTTGATTTAGTTATTTGTTGTTTTTATTTTTATTTTGGTATGGGGTACCCCTTTTGTGTTTGTGTTTTATGGTCTCAATGTTCTTATTTCCAGAAGTTTCATTGTATCTGTGATATATGCCCATATCATAATTTTTTTTATCGGTCTGACTTAGTTATGATACCATGTTAACATGTATACTGTCCCTTGTGAAACATTTTCATTTAGCTTCATGTGTAAAATTTAATCATGTTTAATTTATTATTTAATACATGTTCATGTAGTTGAACTTGAACAAGTATTCTATTATTAATGTTCACCCTTCAAGAACAATACACATAGAATAATTATTTGACATTAACAGATAAATTCAGATCACAATGGAGTTCTTGGACCTGAACTCTGCAACCTAGGAGCTGGTTGGGGATTCCTTGATTAAGCATCTCTGCCAATTCTGTAACTCAGGTATGCAGTTATGAGCTGCAGGCCTAACAAGAAATTGAGGTGTGAAGTAATGTTAGCTTAAAATAATATGATATTGTTTATACAAACTCTCAAAAAATGCAAGACGTTTTATCAAATAGTCTCAGGCATGTTCTTATGAGAAATTCTTGACATTCTGAGGAGCATCATTAGGATTGTTCAGTGGAGGAAGAAACTGCAGAATTGTGAAGTATCTGTGTGTTGTTATGTAACAATGTTTTTAAATATCAGGGATGGTTATGAGACGACGAGACGTAAGGGGGCATACGAGGAGAGGGTGCGGGACGCAAGTGCATCAGCACCAAAGTCGCGGGCGTCGGCAACGGTGCCTGTTCACGTCGAGATGTAAGGGGTAAACAAGGAGAGGGTGCGGGCCGCGAGTTCAG